CCTCAGCCTTCCAAGTAGCTGGAATTACAGGCATGCGCTACCATGCCCGGCTGTTTTTTTGATTTATTGTAGCGATGAGGTCTCGCCAAGTTGCCCAGACGGGTCTCGAACCCGCGGGCTCAGGCAATCCACTTACCTCAGCCTCCCAAAGCACGAGATTACAGGCTGAGCCACCGAGCCTGGCTTAATTTCTTTTTTTACTTTTTTGTAGAAATAAAACAGCATATAGGAAAATGCAGCTATCATACAGCTTGATAATTTTCACAGAAGGAAATTGCTTGTATACCAGCATCCAGATAAAAAAACCCAGAAAATTCATAGCATGTCATAAGTCCCCTTTGTGGGAGTGATATAATGGCAGGTATTCACTGAATCAAAAATTGATATGAGTTCTAAAATTACACTGAGAACTTGGAGGAAAAAAGAAAAATAAATCCGCTTTATGCTTTATTCTTGTAAAAACCACCCTCTAAGCCTTTTCAGATAATTATCATTCTGACTTTTAATGGCATGGATTACTTTTGTCCATTTTTTAGCTTTTGTACTATATAGTTTTGTAGTCTTGTGTCTGACTTCCTTGCTTATCATCATTTTTGTGAAATTCATTTGAATTCTTCAGGATGGCTGTAGATCATTCTTTCTCATGGTTGCATAGTATTTCATTCATGTAAACTACTCTTTATCCATTCTAATATTGATAGTAAAATCTTTAAATTTTTAATGTGCATCCTTTTTTTTTTTTTTTTTGAGTTGGAGTCTCACTCAGACACTCAGACTGGAGTGCAGTGGCCGCTCCCGGCCACCGCACCCTCGCCTGCCGGGCTCTGGCGATCCTTCCACCTCAGCCTTCCAAGTAGCCAGAATTACAGGCATGCGCTACCATGCCTGGCTGATTTTTTGATTTATTGTAGAGATGAGGTCTTGCTGCCCAGGTGAGTCTCGAAGAACCCGCAGGCTCAGACAATCCACTCACCTCAGCCTCCCAAAGGCGCGGGATTACAGGCTGAGCCACCGAACCCGGCTAATGTGCATTCTTGCTTTAAAAAAGTCTCACGTGGCCGGACTCGGTGGCTTAGCCTGTAATCCCAGCACTTTGGGAGGCCGAGGCGTGTGGATTGCCTGTGTCTGTAGTTTCGAGACCAGCCCGGGCAACTTGGCGAGACCTTGTCTCTACAGTAAGTAAAAATTTAGCTGGGCGTGGTAGTGTGCACCTATAGTTCTGGCTACTAGAAAGGGTAAGGTGGAAGGATCCCAACAGATTGATGCTGGGATGGCCATGAGTATGCCACTGCACTCCAGTCTGGGTGATGGAGTGAGACTCCAACTTAAAAAAAAAAAAGTCTGAAGTTGAAGATACTATTTCCATTGTTTCTGACTTCTGTTGTTGCTCTTGGAAGAAAGTATTCTTAAGTTTTGATCCTTTATGGAAAATTTGTCTTTTCTCTTTGGATCCTTTCGAGATGTCTTTATCCTTGGTTTTCTGCATTCCCAAGGTGTCTGGGTATGGTTTTACTTTTATTATCCTGTTAGAACTGTGTTTCTGAATCTGAAGATCCACATCTTTCATCAGTTCTGAAAAATTCTAAGTTATTAGTTTGTTAACTTAGGAGCTGTAGAGTTTCAAGCACAGTGATGACACGAGCAAACAAATGTTTTTAAAACATCATTCTGCTACTTACTGGTTGGTTGCTTTGGGCAAAACATTTAAATGGCTTGTACCTCAGATTTCTCATCTGAGCAATGATAATCTCTATTCTTTCTACTTCATAGAGTCATCTTGAATAGCAAGGAGAAAAATGTACTTGAAATTACATTGCAAGTTATAACATACTACACAAATAGTACAGGATTGAGCTCACTGTAGATGTTCACTAAAATTTATTGAATGAATCTCAATAAATGTTTGTTAAATGTGTAATGAATAGTGTAAGAATATTTAAATATTTTTACTCTTTTTCTCCTCCATTCCCTTTTTTAAAAATGCAACAGTATTTGTATTACTCTTGGGAATGATCTGTGTATTCATGCATTTATAGAATATATATGAAAAGTTACTATGATGATTTATACATAATATCAAATTTTATTCAACTCTCAATGCTATTGATTTTCTAAAATACAAGCCTTTGTCACTACCATTGGTAGCATTTGGTGTCTCTAAACTACTGTTTCTTTTGTCTGTACCAGCCATCAGATAGTTTGCATAGCTTTGTCTCAGTATTCATTTTTATATAAATTAATGTATTTCCTCTCTCCAATTAAATTTTGTGGAGATGGTCTATTGGAAAGTTTGGGGCTTTAAAATTAGGCAGATCTGGGACCAAATCTTTTTTTTTTTTTTTTAAAGTCGGGATCTTATTCTCTTGCCCAGGCTGCAGTGCAGTAGCACAATTATGGCTCACTGCAGCCTTGACCTCCTGGCCTCCAGTGGTCCTCCTCTCAGCCTCCTGAGTAGCCAGGACTACAGGCACACATCATCATGCCTGGCTAACTTTTTAATTTTTTTGTAGAGACAAGGTCTTGCTATGTTGCCTCGGCTGGTCTTGAACTCCTGGGCTCAAGCAATCCTCTTGCCTTGGCCTTCCAAATTACAGGCATGAGCCACATGGGTAGCCCCAAATCTTGACTTTATCATTTCCTGACCTGTGATATTAGAAAAGTCACTTTACCATTTTTATCTTCTGTTTGTTTCTCTGAAAAATAAGGAATGATTTTACTTATGAGTTCTCTGCCATGTGGATAGTGCTCTTTAAGGTGTTTGAATGATTGCAGTATAGATACAGAGGGTGCCAAAAAGGGAAGGGAAACACTGTAATAAAATTGTAATACTGAATAAGATGAATACAAATCACGTTTGACTTTTGTAGTTACAAGAGGTGCTCAAAGAGGTTACCATCAGCATCCAGACACTTCTGATTACAACAAGCATCTCTTAAAATGTGTATACATTTTTTGGGGCATCCCCAATATTGTTCTTTTACAGTTGGGGAACCTGTTACTCAGAAGGATGAGAGTGACTTGCCCAAGGTCATAAAGCTAGTATGCACTGGAGCCAGTCTTTTAAGCTGGAGTGACTGATGATAAAGCCTGTGCCCTCACTAATATATGAGAAAGCGTTTAGCACAGTACTGGATACCTAGTTGACACTCATTAAATATAGACTCTTTTTTACGACAGTAATGTTTCATCATTTTCTAGCACTTGACATTTTCCCCTTCACACAGTTGGTACTTCTTTACCAATTGCTTATTGTCTGTGTTATGCTGCTGACCTTTTATTCACTGAATGTTGACTTTCTAGCTAAAGGGAAAGGACAGTCCCAATCCAGAGTGAATATTAACACTGCTTTGGTTGAGGATATAATCAACTTGAAAGAGGTGGACGAAGAAATGAAGTCTGTGATGGAAGCTCTCAAGGATAATTTCAATAAGACTCTCAATATAAGGACTTCACCAGGTTAGTGACTAAACCAATGTTTTGGGGAGGAGTATAGTGGAAAGAACATGACTTTGCAGAGGTGATTTTAGTTCCAGTTTTGTCATTTGCTAACTCATGTCCATAGGTACATTACTTTACTTTTCTGGTCCTTAGTTTTCTTATTTGATTTCTACCTTGTAGCTTTGGGGTGGATGTTAAAACAAATGTAATGGTTCTAGCACAATGCCTGGCACATAATTAACACTACATTTATTTATCCATATAGGAACTATTTGTCTATTATGAACTAGACAGTGTGCTAGTGCATAGTAGTGAACAAAAATATGCATAATCTTTGATCTTATGGAATTATGCTCTCAAAAAATGGGAGTTTTAGCATGAGAGTACTAAGAACACATCTAGGTATTTAGTCTCATAGTAATTGACATCTTTGGTCTGATATTTCCAATTTTTCCTGCTTGGCAGTTCTTAACCCTTACTGGGGACCAGTGACTGAAAACCTGCCCACCTGAGGCATTTCTATACCCCTGAGCTTGACCAGGAAGATTCCATTTGGGTTAATAACTTCCTCAAAGTGGCTTTTCTAAAGTGGGAAATGTCAGAACTGTCTAAGAGAACTGTTTGCAGATGTGACAGAGAAGTGAGTTGTCAGCTGATGGTGCAAACAGGCAGGAAAAATCCAATTGCTATTAAATTGGTCTTGTGTAAATTGTCATCATCCTAGAGTCAAGCCTGGGACCCTTTTTGAAGGTATATGTGGGAGCTTGGGCTGCTCCTACTCACATCTTGGTTGAGGTAGTTCATAAGGAAACTAGAAATATTTCATGAATTTTCTCTTAAGAAAACCAAGTGAAAAATACACAACTCCATTTATATACACCATCAGAAACATACTGAGTTCAGAGATGAGATCCAGCGTGAAATTAGAAGGCCATTCTTGTCATTTGTCAACCTTTGGACTAGAGTATTTCTGCCTTTGCTGACAGTAGAGCATGCCATTCAATCTCTCTCAGTTGTTTATTTTAAACTTGCTTATTATTTTAGGTATGAAACTGATAAAGTGCTCTGTCTCCCCTGTGCTTTCTGGCCTGTTAACATTCTACAGCCGAAACCAGAGAGCAGTTTGAGAGGAGCTGAGGGAGAAATGTGATACTTAAAATTAGCCAGCAAGCTCCACTCTTGTTGAACTTAAAAAGATGATGGGCCTGGAAAAAGGTTGGGAGTGTAATTTGTTAAATGTTAACCTCTGAGAAAATGAGGGGCAGGAATGAGACTGAAGGAGATTCTCACTGGGGACAGATTGAGGGAAAAGGATTTGATGCATTATGTCGATATGGATTTAGGGAATGGGAACCACCACAATTGCATACTGAAAAGCCTGTGTTGGGACTTCTGTGGCAAAGGATCTTATAGCAAATCAGGAAGGCTGAATTAAGATCCATTTTCAAAAGGTCTCCTGTTGGTATTTCCTCTTTGCAGCTTTCTTTTCACGATTATGTTTGTGTAACATTCTACTTAGAACTTGGGAGCATGAAGAGATGGAGTGAAACAGGCTCACTTAATCAATCCTTTTTGCCGTATTCTTCCATACCTTTCATTACTATATATGAACCAGCTAGTACTTTTCTCCTTATACTTCCATCTGCCTACCAGCAGTTTCTATCTCCAAGATAGTTGATACCTTTTAACAGTTATCTAGGTATCGTTTTATTTTTTCAATCTTGGCTTCTTTCCCTTTCGGCCATCATCCATTCACTTATTCATCAAAGCATTTTTGATTACTTTTTCTGTGCTGGCTGATTACTTTAATAGGTGCTGTGGATACAGACAGAAAAGATATTGTCTCCATCTTCCAGGGATCTTGGAACCTAGTGTGAAGGGACAATTAAACCAATATGTATAAAACCATACAGCAAAGCTGAAGGTGAAGACCACATGGCTTGGAATTGGTCAGACCTAAGTTTGAATTCAGACACCATTAAGAGTTATTGTGAACTTGGACAAGTTATGCTGTATTCCTCAGTTTCCTCATCTGTAAGATGACAGAAGTAATAATAACTATCTCTTAGGTTTATTGTGATAATGAAAGCAAATAAATAATGGAGAGCATTTAGCATGACATTTTGCTCGTAGGAAGTTTTCAGCGCATATAGGCTATCATCATTATTTTTTTATCTTTTTTCTTTTAGAGATGGGGTCTCTGTCACCCAGGCTGGAGTGCAGTGGCATGATCATCATGGAAGTATGCATAGAATACTTGGAGGCTTGCTTAATAAGGGAGGCTTGTAATTCAGCCTAGGAGCTCAGACAAGATTTCTGAGATTAGATGCTACCTCTAGCTGAGTATTTTAAAGAATGAGCAGGAGTTATCTCAGTAGAGAAGGGTGTTCTTGATAAAAGGAAGATTATATGCTAGAATCTTGAGGCAAGAGCGAACAGTCTATCTGAGAAATTGTTTAAAATAAGTTAGTTTGAGCCAGGCTTGCTTGCTCAGCCTGTAGTCCTGCGCTTTGGGAGGCTGAGGTGAATGGATTGCCTGAGCCCGCAGGTTCGAGACCCGCCTGGGCAACTTGGCGAGACCTCATCTCTACAATAAATCAAAAAAATTAGCCGGGCGCAGTAGCGCGCGCCTGTAGTTCCAGCTACTTGGAAGGCTGAGGCGGAAGGATCTTTGGAGCCCAGCAGGTTGAGGCTGCGGTGGCCGGGAGTGGCCACTGCATTCCAGTCTGGGTGACAGAGTGAGACTCTAACTCAAAAAAAAAAAAAAATGTTAGTTTGGCTAAACATAGAATGTCAGGAAGTAATAATAGTCAGCATTTATTGGGATACAGTTGTAAGTGCTTTTCATTTACTCTTTCATTTAATCCTAAAAATCTTATGAGGTAGATATAATTTTTATGCTCTATTTAGAAATCAAGAAACAGAGGCCCAGAAGGTTAAAGGGGTCTACCCAGGGTCACCCAGTCAGGAAGTGGCAGCATTGGTATTTGAATTCTGATTGTTGGTCTTCAGAATAATGAAGACTTGTGCTGTGATACCTCCTGAACTTTTTCAGGTTGAAATCAATGGTGTCAGCAACCTTCTATATTATGATGACATTGAATCTGGTTGAGTACCTCAAATCAGATCTTTGGGCCATAGTATGGTACTGCTTTATTCTGACAACATATTGCCAGGACAACTCTGATTTGCTTAGGACTCCTTTTCCCTCCTCTTTCTTTGTGTCTCAGAATGAGCTATCCTTGAGTGGTTCCTACTGTGAATGATAAGGTTTTTCTTCTAGTTCTCATTTGCATAGGAAATCAGGGAGTTTGAATAATGCTTATTTTCCATCTGTAGCTACAGCCTTATTGCTTGACTTCCTGGGTTTGTGAACTTTTTTCCTAGGGTTTTCCAGAATTCAGATATGGAATAAAGACCAGATCCAGGATAAAAGTGAAATGTTAATCTTTTTTTATATAATGGGTTTGTTTCTGAAGGGAATCTAAACACCAAAATTAAGGGTGGTTTAAGAGAATGATTCCAAATCTGGTGTCAGTATCAGGTGGTAAACCTAAAAAAACATTTCAGCTTCCCCCAAGTCACAGTCTACAGAATCAGGATCTCTGGGGTAGGGTCCAGGAACCAAATTTTTTTTTTTTTGTTTTTTTTTTGAGTTGGAGTCTCACTCTGTCACCCAGACTGTAGTGCAGTCGCTCCCAGCCACTGCAGCCTCGACCTGCTGGGCTCTGGCAATCCTTCCAGCTCAGCCTTCCAAGTAGCCGGAATTGCAGGCATGCGCTACCACGCCCGGCTGATTTTTTGATTTATTGTAGAGATGAGGTCTCGCTGCCCAGGCGGGTCTCGAACCCGTGAGCTCGGGCAATCCACTCACCTCAGCCTCCCAAAGGCGCGGGATTACAGGCTGAGCCACCGAGCCCAGCCAGGAATCTAATTTTAAAAGCTTCCTAGTGATTCTGATGCACAGCTAGATTTATATAAGGGAAAGAGCCTTGGTTGAAATCAGAATTCAGCACATCCAAATTTGGATTTGACTCTTAATGGTTTTTTCTTTTGTTAGTTCTATGATTATGGCCTGTTTGTTTTATTTTTTTTTAAGAGAGAGTCTTGCTCCGTTACCTAGGCTGAGGCTCAGTTGTGCTGTCATAGCTCACTGCAGCCTTGAACTTCTGGGCTCAAGTGATCCTCTTACCTCAGCTTCCTGAGTAGCTAGGAATACAGCTGCATGCCACTGCATCAGCTAATTTTTTTATTTAAAAAATTTTTTTTAGAGTCAGGATCTCACTGTGTTGCCTGCATTGACCTCCCAAAGTGCTGAGAGTACAGGGATGAGCCACACTTGCTATCCTTCCCAAGTCTTATTTTATCATCAAAGTAGAGATAGTAATATGCTGTTACAGGATAGTTATAATAACTAAAAGAGATAATAATAGGTAACACTTTTATCCTCATTTTTTGGCATTGTATACTTGGCTGTTTACATTTAGTTACAATTCTTTAGCCACAGTACTAACTTTAACCATCTAAGGTAATTATTTTTTGACTGAGTTGAAACCAAGGGCCAGAAAAGAAAAGGAACTTGCTAGAGGTTTCATAGCAAGTAAATGGCTAATTTGCTAGCATGGGGAGGGTGTTGATCAACTCTTTCTAGTGTTAGCTCTAAAAGTCCTATGTCACAGGAAACTCCTCAGGTCCAGGCAAACTAGAATGGTTGGCCACCTTGGTTGCTAGTAAGGAATTCCAACCTAGTTCTTTCAACATACCGAGCTCCCTCACATGACACTGCTGTTCCTATGAAAGCCTCTTGAATAGTCTTGTCACATTGATAAGGGATGTTGAATCTCTAAATGCTTGTTGAATCTGAGAGAGACTTAGATGTGTGGCTTTTAAGGTCCTTCAGAATTCTAAAACTCTGTAATTTTTCTTTTAGGATCTCTTGATCATATTGCTGTGGTAACTGCTGATGGAAAGCTTGCTTTAAACCAGATTAGCCAGATCTCCATGAAGTCACCACAGCTGATTTTGGTGAATATGGCCAGCTTCCCCGAGGTAATGTGGCCTTGCTAAAATCCCTCTCCATGGTCTCTTTTGGAGGAGGCTGAGTCAAGTCAGGAGGAAATATTCCCTTCAGCTTGGGATGAAACAAGAGAGAAGACATAATAAAGATAAGTTAATAAGGAAAAGCTCTCTTCCTGTTTCTCAATTCTTTTTCTGTTAAACTCAAATGCTATAGAGACTAGGCAAGTTATTTGAAAACCAAAACAGGCTCCGTCTAAGGAATAGTAATGAAGATAGAGTGATTGGTGCTTGGCCAGTAGGTGTGTGTGTGTGGTGAGGGGACACCTCTGGTAAACTGGAAAGCCTGTGTCTTATCTGGGGGTGGGGATGGGGGTTCCTCTGATCATTGCCGGGTAGAAATGTAGGCCTGGCAACCAGTGTTACTTGATATTATGATTTTTATTTCTAGAAGAAGCAGTCACACAAACTTTTGTGAGATCTTTGTTCTTTAAATATTGATGATTCACTATTTTTCTTAAAACTGTGAGACAAAATGTATTAATGGGCCAGATATGGCATGAAGTCCTTCAGTTTTTGTTTTTTTTTTTAATCTCTGCATTAATATTTGGAACAGACCCTCCAGGAATTCTTTTCAAACTAGACTGACCATTGCAAATAATTGTACAGAGCATAGTCTTTCTAAGACTGGAAGGTAAGTTGCATTAGATCATTGTAACCCTGAGGCTTTGCGATTTTAAGTAGTTGAGGAAGATAATTGTGCTTTTCCTTATTGGTCGACTGGGAATTGGTCTGGATTGGGAGGAGTCCTAGAGGACCTGGAATCTGGTCCAACTTGACCTTGGGCAAGTTGCTTCATTCTCTGGGCCTCTGTTCCTCATCTGCTAACAGGAAGGAATCTTCCTGTTCTTACTGTCTGTTTCAATATTCTGTTCCAAAGACATAGACTGAAGTTGGACTTGCTGGATTTGACAAACTAGGCTAGAGACAGGAAAAAGGAAAAGCCCTTGCTTTGCACAAGCTATTTCAAATCAAATGATTTTGATAGCTAATGTACCAAGCACACTTCTGAAGGTGTTACTACCACTCTCCAAATCTATTCTCTGTACTATAGCCAGAGTGAGTCTTTAAAAAACATATTGTGTCATGTTCTTTCCATGCTTTAAATTTATTAGTGGCTTCAAGTATCTGTAAGAAAAAGCCCGAAATCTTTATTGTGGCCTAGAAGTTTTTATATGGTATGGACTCTGCCTATGTCTCCAGTCTTGCCAGTCTTGTGTCACTGTTATCCTTGCATACTGCTCTAGCCACACCTGCTTTTCATTTCCTCAAACCACTAAGCCCTTTGCATCCTCAGGGTCTTTGCATATACTGTTCTCATTGCTTGGAATACTCTTGCATGGCTAATTGCTATTTGTATTTTGGATTACAGTTTAAATGTCACTTTTTCAGGGAGGCTTTTCCTAATCTATCTAAATTATTCCTCCACACTAAGCTTTCTTATACAGCATGACTCTTTTTCTTTATTGCTCTTCTGTTAATAATTATACATTTATTTACTTGTTTATTTTCCATCTCACTTTTACTGTATTGTAAGCTTGGAATGTAGGAATCATGTCTAATTTGTTCATTGTGTCCAGCGCCAAACATAGTGCCTGGCACATGGAAGCACTCGGTAAGTTTTCCTTGAATGGATGAATACTTGTCATTAGGTTGATAAAAGAGAGGCACTCATTCCTGGTGTTACTGAGAAATAGAGAAATGGATAAAAAGGGAACTGTTAACTCTTGCTCTTTCTGGCCCCCTCTGAACTACTGAGGCCTTTCTGCCTTGTTCATCTAATCCCTTAGGCTCGGCGGGCCAATTTAGGGAATAGCCTCCTAATTACACAGCATGAAGACCTCATCAGGCAGATTGCTTTTCAGAGCCAGCCACTTCTGTTATTAAATAGCAAATGACATTCACAGAAGAAGCACCTGATTGGTCACCAGAGCATCTTATGAGGCAGGAGGAGGTATTAATAGCTTAATTTTTTCTCAGGAAGTTGGAGTATATCTTCATTTTTTTTCAACCAAATCATCTTTGCCATTTCTCCAAGTTGAAATTGCATGGGTTATGAAAAAAATCTGTACAAGCATCTCAGAGAGGTTCATTTACAGGGACACAGTGAGAAAGTGTGAGTTGCATTGTCTTTTGAATTCCTTTATCTCTCATCTGGTGTATATATTAAACAAATTGCTCTAACTAAATATTTCCTTCTTCCAGCTTAGAAACTGTCCATAAAGTACCCAGGTTCATAGCTTCAAAATGCTGAGCTAATCCTCTCTGTGTTTATATAATTTCTTTCTGTTTCACATACGGTTGACTTTCTTTCCAAACCCGAGCATTTCTGTGTTATGCTGTAGTGACACAATGCAGATTTACATGCATAATCTTTCTGAATGCATTGAAGACAGAAAGTTGTGTTGCATTTGTTTAACATGTGTCCTGCTTGATAAATTATGCACACGGTTGCTGCCTTTCATAAACTCGCCTGCAGCTAGAATTAATGATGGGGAAAAAAGAGAAAGGAATGGTTTGAACAAAACAAGGAAAGAACAAAACAACTCTGCAGGTTTCATTATTGCTCTTGTGGAGGGAGGGGAGCTAATGTGTATTGAGTGTCTGCTGTGTTTCCAGTCACTTTCTCATGTTTTGTTTCATATGATAAACACAGGTACTCTGTAAAATTAAGAGTTATTTATTCCATTTTATAGATGAGGAAACTGAGACTCAGAGAAGTAAAATATCTCTGTGATAGAGCCAAGATTTGAACATAGCTCTGTTTGATGTGAAAGCCTGTGCTCCTTTCATCATTCATTCATTAATTCAGCACATATTTTTTTAGTCCCTGAATGTGATTAGTTTCTGTTTGAGGTACAGGGAATTCATTGATGATTAAGACAGACTGTCTCTTTCATAGACCTTACATTCTAAAGACTAAAGAAAATGGAAGGCAGGTAATTGACGTGGCACTTTTGTAGTTGACTTGAATCCAAATTCTCAAGGACTTGTTTACTTGTTTACCAAGTTTTTATCATTTTTTTGTTCTTTAGCATAGATTAGCTTAAGAGTAACAATGGCATATATTGCTAATTGATCATAGCACACTTCCTTGCCTGAACCCAGGTGGGGTCTATGATCTTTCTCAACACACTACTCCAAGCAGCCACACTGCTTGGAGTCAATGTTTGAGAGCAACCCAGTTGCCCTAGGATACTGTTGAGCATCTCTTCAGTGAGGGGATAAAAGCTTAAGATAAGAGATGGAAATTCTCTATGCCTTTTTTATCTGAACCATGCTTAGCTCAGACGTCATGTTGGGAGAATGACTCTTAATTGCCTGAGGTTCTGCATTCTACCATGTCAAAGCAAAATATACATATCTAGAATACCTTTAAAGATATACCTCTTTCATTGCAAAATGAAACCTTGATTGATTCGCATTTTTTTCTTTCTCTTCATATGAAAAGACCAAGAAAAGTTAAAGTGTTAAATAAGGTTTGAGAGGTTACATATATGAGGGAAAGGAGTTGAGTTTTTCTAATACATCTGAACCAAATCATTAATATATTCATACAACAAACTTTTAGTGAGTTCTTACCATATACTTGGCACTGTGCCTTGTACTGGGAAGATGTTAATATTGAGCCATAACTTCTATCCAGCTTAGTATTAGTAATTACTGCTCTTGGGCCTACAGGGGAAGGCCAGGCTGAGAAAGGGAAGTTGTGGTGATGGGATATTATACTAGTGATTATCAGTTATTCAGTGAGAAGCTACAGAAGAAAATTGGGAAATTTGAGATTAGACCTCCTCTTCAAAATGGAGTGTCTCAATTATTGTTAACTTTAGAAATCTTTGTTCTGTTTATCTGTGTGTATGCTTTTTGTCTTTTTGTTTTGAGTCAGGGTCTTACTCTGTCACCAAGGCTGGAGTGTAGTGGCATGATCATGATTTACCACAGCCTTGACCTCCAGGGCTCAGGCATCCTTCTGCCTCAGCCTCGAGTAACTGGGACTACAGGTGCACACCACCATGCCTGGCTCCTTTTTTGTAGAGACAAGGTTTTGCTATGTTACCTAAGCTGGTCTTGAACTCCTGGGCTCAAGCAGTCCTTCCACCTCAGCCTCCCAAAGTGCTGGAATTATAGGCATAATCCACAATGCCTGGCCTTTGTGTGTGTGTGTGTGTGTGTGTGTTTTAAATTAAGGAACATGGCAGTTCAGAGAAAAATTAATTTCACTTCTTTATCCAGTTCTTTTATTTACCTTGGTCATACCCTTTATACACCAGGCCTAACTCCAAATTATTTTTGGCTACTCAAAAAAAATCAGATCCATATATTTTAATTACTGAATACACTGAGCTCAGGGATCTGGGGGAAAAAAAAGACAAAGTAACATCATTGAACTGAATTGCCATTAATTCTCCTCTTAACTTCGCCAGTAACTGGACGTATAATGGGTGAGGTCCATCTCTCTTGGGCAGTTAGGGAAAACCATGTCTACACTTAGGAATATGACCTTATTCTACAGTCCCTGTTTACACAATGAAGGGCTGTGCTTGGTTATGTTAGAGGTCCCTTCCAGCTCCAGTAATCTGTACCTCTGACTAGAGGTACCATTTTAAGAATTTACAGTTTTAAGCAGTAGACATACTGTTAGATTCCATGTACAGCCTCCCAAGGATTATTTATCTGTATGTGGAAGTTTTGGTCTGCCTTTTTGGCCTTATAGTAACACCTCATATAGATGTAGAATTAAGGTTATTTAAAAATGAAATGGATGAGCATTTTAGGCAAAGTACCTGGAAAAGTAAAATAGGTATCTGTCAACCCCCATTCATTTAAATCAGAAAGTCTAGGGAGGAACTCAAGACCAGGAATTGCCTGTGAATCCAGGTAATTCTGATTGGCTCTGATCAAACTTAAAATTCTTTTGAAAATGTCAGAGACTTTGATTTCACGAATTCCACGTTGTCTTGCTAGTGAAAGTATCTTTCTTCCACACTACTTTCTTATTACTCTTTAAGCTTGCATACCAGGTGTAGTTATAATGTTGCTTGAGTGTGAGATGAAGCACTTTGGGAAATCAGTGTACCAGTACGCCAGCTGGCACATTAGTGAGCACACCCATCAGAAAAGTCCCAGAAGGATGTTGGTCAGGGCAGCAGTACATCAGCTAAATGCTGATGTCAACTCTGCCTTGTTTGAGGGTTTTATGCATTCCTACCTTTATATAATATATATTGTGTAATAACTGCCTTTGACTGGATATTACTGTGTGCCAGGCACAGAACAAGATGTATTGCTCATGTTATTTCACTACCCCTCTGAGGTTTAGGTGCCACATGGTCTCATTATGAAATGAAGACTCAGGGAGGTCAAGCATATTTCCCAGGGTCTCTTGATTATCAGAGATAGGATTCTTTCTGACTCTAAAGTTCATGCTTTTAACTATTATACCACGCTGCCTTTCCTGGAACATATACCAGTAAAGATTCATTGCTCATTCCAAAATATGAGTGAGTTTGGTGTGAGCATAGATGTGAATGAGTTAAATTTATTTACTCATTCCAAATTGGCACTGGTATATTTTGAGTGTAAAATGTCAACTGGAATTTTTTAATGTATGAAATCTTTCATCTGGCTTTACACCAATCTTTGCAGAGACCAGCCCCCCTCCCTTGAGGATTTATTGTGGTTTTGATCTGTGTTGCCTCAAACCATTGAAATCTTTTCAAAGAAGCAGAGCTGTTTTCTTTTTATTTTTTCTTCCCTTTCTTTTTTTCCTCCTGCAGTACACTGGTACCAGGAGTGGACATAGTTTGCTATTCAGCTTGATCAAAGCACTCTACACCAATGTAACTTCCTGATCTTACTGGTAACAGAACTAAATGTTTCCATGTTCTGCCAAGATGGGTTGCCAGTTATCGACAGAGGGCTTGCATCTGGTAATAATTATTTACTAATTCTGTTTACCTTTTGATCTGGTTTTCAGTGTACAGCTGCAGCTATCAAGGCTATAAGAGAAAGTGGAATGAATCTGAACCCAGAAGTGGAAGGGACGTTAATTCGGGTACCCATTCCCAAGTAAGTTTGGCTGAAATTCACATATTCTGATGAAATGGGGTAATTGTCCTTGGAAGGAAATCAACATCCTGCTATACTGTTAGGTTGATAACATACCTTACCTGCACCTTTCATCCTGGCAGACATCTTTTGAGATCCAGTTTACTAATTCAGAAATACTTACTGATATGTAAGTATTATTATGTACTAGATATGGGCTATGCAGCAGTAAGCATGAGAAATGTGTCTTCTTCACATAGTTTACATTCTGGTTTGGAAGAGAGGACAAATAAAGTCATTGTAGGTAATGACATTCTGTAAGGAAAGAAAAGACCATGAGATCCAATAGAGAGTGACTTAGGGAGGGTGTTGATGGCAGGGGCAACTTTAGCCTGAGAGGAGGTAACATTTTTGCTGAGAGCTAAATGCAGGGAGAGAGCAGTAGAGGAGACTGGACTAGTCAGTAGATGCTGACGGTTTGGGCTTTATAGGTCATGGTAAAGAGTTTGGACTTTAATTGCAGTAGGAAGTCATTGGAGAGATTTAAGCAGAGATTTTATCTGGTGTTGACTGTGTAAGGGTCTCTCTGGCTGCTGATTAACAAATGGAATTAAGGGGGACAAATCAGGAGGCAACTGCAGCAGTCCAGGTGAGACACAAGTCTTCTTACATTTTGTAGCAGAAAATTTAAATCCCTATTCCTATACAGTGCCTCACATACAGCAAAACACAAATAAATGTTGAATTAATTTGTTCAGTCTTTCAACAGATGTTTTTTAAGCACTAACTACACGCCAGGTACTTTCTTAGCTGTTGAGATATAGCAGTAAACAAAACAAGCAACAAAAAGTTCCCCTCCTCCTAAGGCTTCCCTGATAGCTGAGTAGGCACAGTAAGTAGAAGAATAAATACATAATGTAATGTCAAGTGAGAATAAGGTCAGTAAAGAAAAATAAGCAAGGTAAAGGGGTAGAGAGATTTGGGGACTTTGTCATAGTGAAGGTCAGGAAGGATGTGACATTTGAATAAAGACCTAAGTGAAATGAATGAGTAAAACTTCCAAATAACTATAAGGGAAATAGAATGTAACACTAGTTGAGTGTCACACATCATCTTGTATTCCTTTACATATATTGTCTCATTTGTCATACAATCCCTGTAGTTTTTCTTTTCCCCCTGCATATGGAAATTAAAGCTCAAGAGAGGTGAACTAATATCTCTGAAGCCACATAGTTTGTGCTAAAGCAGGGACCCAAACCCAGGTTTAGTTGATTCCAAAGCCTTGTGATGTGCCCATGCTAACAAGAATTAATCCCAATACTGAGAGTCCAAGAAATTTTCCTACTCAACTTTTTCCTGCTTATGACCAGAGACAGGTATCTTATTCATTTTATCCTCAGTACTCTGTAAAACTGAATTAACATTATGCTTTGAAATCACATGAATTAGAAGCAGTATTACTTAATGTTTAAGAAGCAGGTTCAAATCTAGTACCTTTTGGCTTGGCCAGTTCATTGATTTGCTCAGTGAATTTTCTGAGAATGTTTATGTGCCAGGTTGTGTGCCAGGATGTGCAGACCTGATGTGTATCATCATGGAGCTCATAGACTGTGTGACAGATCCTTTGTTTCTATTCTCTCCAGCTTACTTGTAGAACTTTGACCCACAGTTTATAGATGAAAAACCTGAAGTTCAGAGAAATTAAGGAACTCACCCAAGATCTCATAACCAATAAGTGGCAGTCAGGATTTGGATTTTGAGTGTTTTTGTTACCTCCTTCTAGGCTCTCTGGGCAGATGAGTAATTACAGAAAAAACTAAGTGTATGCATGAACATTAGAAGCAACAGTCACGGGTGTCATAGATAGCAGTCAGCAGGTTTATTTTCTAGTTCTTGCTCTCCTGTCTGTGAAACCTTAGACAGTCACTTAACCTTGCTGAGCCTTGGTTTCCTCATATACCAGATGAAGGAGTTGTTCTCAGTGGCCTGTCAGGTCCTTTCTGAAGCTCCAAAATTCTGTGGGGCTATGAATTTGTGTTGTAAGTGCTCATTGTTGATTTAGATTCTTGCTAGCGTGGCCCAATTGTGTGTCACATTTTTCTTTCAAAGATCTAGTTGACATAACCTGCACTTTGGCAGCCCCACAGGAGTTAATGATAACCCTTGGTGCATCGCGTGTAAGTTTGAAGGATCAGTGAATTTAACTTGAATTTCCAAAGACATGGGGAATTGGTTACATTATTTTTTATATTATTTTATCTTGGTTAATGGGTGTAATCCTAGAGAAAGTTGATGGACCAAAACCATCTGCTCTTGCAGAGCTCATTTTTTATGTGCTTTCTTCATTTTGACAAGGTGGTAGGGTCATGAGGCCCTTTACTGAACTATATGTTTGGTAGTTTTCTAGATAAAAAAATGAATGATTCTGTTCTTTATTATGAAGGCTGTGTCATGTGAGAGGATAAAGGTTGATTTAGAAGTAAGAGGTCCAAGGTTTTACTTGGTTTTGGCAGTGACTTCCATATGACTCTGGACACATTGCACTAACTGCCTGTTACCTTCTAGTTCCTTATTTATAAAATAGATGAAGCAGTATATAATGATAGGCAGAGATTTGGTGAGATTAATAGACAAAATAGATTAGGTAGTGTGATGCCCTTAGAATAGAGAAACTGTATAAATGTAAGATACTAATATTATTTTAGTAAACCTTGTTTATCTGTATGTGTATATATATAATTTATATATAAAAAGAAGGTATGGGGAAGGGAACTAAGAGGTCAAACACCTACGATGTGCCAGGAACTGTTGTTAGGTGCCTGACACATACAGGGAAAGGGGAAAAGTAAAATGCTTAAAGTCTGCCTTGGTGTCACATAAGCATGAAATTGAGTTCCAGCCCTTCTGCTTTTAGCTGTGTGATAGTGGCAACTATCTCTGCCTCTCTAAATCTCAGACAGCTCATCTGGGAAATAATAATTTATAGGACTTGCCTTATCATTATTGGAAATTTTCAGTGAGATAATGTACATGATGCCTAGTAAGCCCCCAGTTAATGCTGGCAAAAGTTGCTTTACCTTTATTCCCTTTCACAAATAGGTGGGAGAATCATTCCTTTTGGGAATAAGGAAGCCGAGATTCAGAGAGGTGAGGCATTGGCACCAGGTCACACAGCTGGTAATTGACAAAGCTGCGAGGAGGAAAATAACACATCAAAGCTGTGTTGGAAGTTTGGGAGTTTTGGGGAACAGGAACTGATCCTAAATTCCTAGGAACAGTTTCAGATTATAAAATTTCAAGATTAGTTCTAGGAAAATTTGCCTTTCTTGGTTGATCATGAGTCTTCTGCCTAATGATAGTCTGCAGTTTTGCTTTTTTGCTTTAACTCTGGATGCCTAGAACTAAATTTTATTTTCAGTTACTGCAGATCTCACCTACTTCCTCACCCTTATTATACTCCTCTGATTCTTATATTCTTATTTAAATAAGTCTACTGAGTATGTGACTCTAACAGTAATCTGCCTTTGATTTTTTTTGGAAATAGGTAGGAAGTCAATCCTAAATCAATAACAGGTCAGACTTGGATCCTGAGTGGTCCTTATCACCAGGTCTCCATTATTAGAGTCTCTGGGAGTCAGCTCTGTGTGACCATATGCAAGTTTTTTTTTTTTAAATCATGGCCTCTCTTTTCAGGTAAAATATCATGGAGTCTCAGAGGCTCTGGGTTATATCCTTTCCAGTGTGTACAGCTTTTGTTTTCTTCTCTGGCAGTATTCTTTTATTTAGGTCAGTCGGTCAACTGGATGACTTTTTTTGAACATTCCTGTTAAAAGAGATTTATTAAAATAGTATCTTCTTCTTTCTTTCCTATTTATGTAATCACATTTTGGGCACCATTTACCAACTAGCTAAAAAAATGAAGGTGTGACACCTGGATGTGCTAAGCTGAACACTTTACAGTTTCTCTCCAAATTCTTAAAACAGCACTGTTGGGTGAATTTGACTGATGAGAAACCTGAGGCTCACAAAAGTTAATGCCCAATATCAGACAGCTAGTAAGTAGCAGAAGCAGGATCAGAATTGCGATTTTTGTTATTGCCTTTCTTCCTGTTCTTATCTCCTGATGGAAGTTCTATCTGGAATATTAGTTTTTCATTCTTAACACGGGGCCCTGAAGTTTTAAGCAGGAGTTCATTTTGAATAGGCCAGATTTCTGCCTCCACCTTATTCACATCATCATCATGCCTCAAAACAAACAAACACACACTCCCTTACTGATGTTTTACCAGATGTCAATGGGAAAACCACACTAAGTAGAATAAGGCTGCTTTAGTTTGAGATTGCTGAGTTCATGTGTGGCTTTAAGTAAACACTATGTGTAAATGATGAATTCACCCAAGAGACAAACGTGCGCATAACTGACTCATTCCCTACCAAGGTTGCATCTTTTCTTGATTGTCCTTCTCTTTCATCAATGTCTGCATTGGTTTTATTTTAAATCGAATTAAATGCAGTTTAAAAATTCCTCCATCCTATTCTCCAAAGGGAACCACTTTTAGCACCTTGATTTTCTAGATTTTTTTCTATGCAAAGTCAATTTTATGTCCATAGCTCCCTTAATTTTTTTCTGTAATGATATGAGATTATACTATACATACTGTTCTGTACTTTTTTAACTTCACAATTTGTCAGTGCTTTTTTTTGATGAGAATTCTTCCTTATTCTTTAAAAACTGTGTAGTGTTGGCATTTTACATATAGCATTAACTAGTTCACAGATGTCAAATATCTTGGTTTAAATTTTTTCTCCTTTACTAATCATGTTGTATTGATTTTCTAAGGCCTACTTCCTGTTCTGCTGGAGTGGAAGTGATGGGGGAGACTATAATTGGGAAGGGTGAATGCGGAATGTGGGGGCCTTGCTATTGCTATTGCTCTTGATTGTCTGTGTGCTGTTTTGTAGCAGCACTGCATAGTGCTGGGCTTCTTAGAGACATAGACATTTCAGGGCCCGACAGCCAT